AAGGAAGGAAGGAAGGAAGGAAGGAAGGAAGGAAGGAAGAAAGGAAAAGATCTTACCAAAGGGCTGATACCTGAGTAGTCCAATCCAGTCTTTGAATGCAACTGCCAATCTACTGGAAATCCCAGGAACCTGTTGAAGTGCACCATGAGCATGCAGTAAGCAATATCCAGGCTGTGGGCAATGCTCTGTGTCAAAAGCCATGGGTTCTTCAACAGATAAATCATCTGTAAAGAAAAGAGATTGGGGGAGAACTTGTACATTAAAATAGACTTAAACTATTCAAAAGTGTCAAGTTCATAAAAGACAAGGAAAGACCAAGAAACTGTCACAGATTGGAGGAGAATAAGGAGACATGATGAGTAAATACAATGTGGGACCTGATGGAATCCTGGAACAGATAATGGACATTAGTAGGAAAACCATTAGTGTAATTCAAGTCTGGAGTTAATAGCAATGTGCCAGTATTAGCTTCTCAGCTGTGATAGCTATACCATGGTTATTTAAGATGTTAACAAGGGGAAGCTAGGTGAAGGGTATAGGGAACTCTCCATATCTGAACTTTCCATAAATCTAAAATTATTCCAAAATAAAAAGCTTAAAAAAGAGAAAATTTAAGGTATATATCAATTTTTTATGGGCAAGACTGAACCATAGTCATTAGGGAAGTACACTTGGGTAATAAAACCATAAAAAGGCAAGGAAAAAATTACTCTAAATGTCAAGATAATAGTTAATATGGGAGGAGAAAGAGGGTTGTGATTGAAATGGGACATGGGAAGGCTTCTGGGGAAGGTGGAAAAGTTTTTATTTTTTGACCTAGTGGTGGCTGCAAGGTGTATGTCTTATAATAATTCATTACCTATACATTTGTTTTAGGTAGTTTTCTGTATCTGGGTTTTAGTTTACAATAAAAAATTAGAGAGAGAGAGAGAAATTTAAGACACAGGATCCAAATATAATCAGTGGCTCTTGTTTGGATCCTGATTCAAATTAACCAACTATAAAAAGACATTTGAATATGGGCTGGCTATTAGATGTTATTAGAGAATTAGTAAATTTGTTAAGGGTGATAGTGGCATTGTTATTATGGAAGAAAAATCCATTTTTTAATGCATAGTAAAGTATTAGGAGTGAAATAACATGTCTTAGAATTGCTTTAAAATACTCCAAGAAAAAAGAGTGAGGAGATAAATGAAACAAGTATGGCAAAATATTAATTGTTTGAAGATGAACATAAAGATTAAAATTTGTTGCTTTCTCTAGTTTTGTGTGTGTTTTGAAATTTTTATAATAGAAAGTTAAAAGAAGGAACAGCTCCAAACCAGGCTGCCTCAGGTCAACAGTAAGTTACAACAGAAACCTAACCCCAGGTGCTCCCCACCCACACAAACCTCCAGAGCTCCCTTCCCACCAGCCATCTCCCTGAGGTCATAAACCCTGTGCTCTAGAAGTAGCCTATGAGATGTGTGTTTCTTCTCTGGATCTCTGGGTCAGTAGGACTAATTGCAGTCCTTCTCAACTTTCTCCATTTTGATGTCCCAATAATCCCAGAAAAGAGAGTCAAAGGGCAAATGTGCAGAGTCCAGGGCTCAGATCTGATAGGGCAGTCCTTGGTGCTCCAGAGCCTGCCCCTGAAGCGGGCAGTAGGTGTGAGACAGCACAAGAAGGGAAGAGAGCAGGTAAAAAGCCTCATAGTCACTATTGAGTGAGCTTCCAGAGGCTGGTGGCACCTTTGGTTGGAACACTGTTCTGGGATCTTCGCCTCTGTCAGGCTCCTGGGCATCATGCCTTGTTTTAAGCAGCCTAAGCACTTCCAGAGTCTCATACTTCTGCATTGGCCCTTGAGCTACCTTGCCATATGTGAGTACTGATCTAAGAGTGCATGGCAAGAGCCAGAATCAGGGGTCAGGGCCAGATCTGGGGTGATTGATTTTTAAGCTCATGAAAAGTTTCATCTCTGGCCTTTCATCATCTCAGATGGTACTGCAGAGTAAAGGCAAGGAGTCTTGAGTTCCACGAATGCCCTAGAGAAGGAAGAGATAGAGCCCCAAGGGGCAGTAAGGACAGGCAGGGGGGTAGAACAGGGTCATGATGGGTATGAGTAGATCTAGCTCATTTCAGCCACTTCCTAACCCTCACTGTCTGGAGAAGAGAAATGAGACCCAGGAAATAGGCATGATAGGTTCATGATCATAAAGAAGCATGGGGAGTGGGGCAGAGGAAGCATTAGCATTGCAGACTTAGAGGAGTATAGCCTGTGTTTAAACCACAGTTTTCCGTTTTGAGAGTGGGGGTGGTAATATGGCAGGAGACAGGGATAATGAAAATAATGGTGAAGGGAAAGAGGACAAGAATGGTGGATGGGAAATGGTAGAGGGATACAGATGCTGTGTGGGTAGGGTGTGGGAGATATGGACAGTATATGGGCAAGGGAGGGTGGGCTAGTGATTTAACAGGGTTCAGGGGTGATGGATAGGGACGGAGACAAGAGAAACAAGATGGTGGCCAAATAAGAGCAGGGGTAAAAGCTGGTGGCAGGCAAGGAGCAGGAGTAGAGGCATAGAGGGGGGGCAGGGAGGCAGGTGGACAGGGGTGACAAGAAAGCAGAGAAATAGGGCTGGTGTGTGGCAGATGGTAGAGGAAATGTTGGAAAGACAAGTAAACATGGATAGTGGATGGGAAGGAGCTCAATTTTGCAAAAGGCCCAGACCAGAGGCATGTGTAGTTTGGAGGGCTCTTAATAGGGCGGGACATGGTCAAGTTCTGCTTGCAGCAAAAATTTGGTATGACTTGCTCTCTCATCAGTTTGGATTGTGCAGCCATTGTTCATTTATCTGCTGTTTACATCCTTGTGGCCACTACCAGCCCTTTACTTTGTCTGGTTTTTCCTGGACTGGAAGACCCCAGAAAAAGGTAAGACTCATGGATCTAGAAAGAACAGGACCTAAGAATGTTCCTTCTTAACCTGTAACTAGGGAGTTTCACTCACCATGCCACAGGCCTCTCTTCCAAGTTCTCAGAGCCACAGGAACTGGGCCAGGCAGGACCATCTTGGGGTCTCTTTCTTTTCCAGCTCTCTAGCAAAGCCATGGTCCCTCCATGCTGCTAAGGAAACCCTGGAAGGGGTAAGGTTGTCACACAGACACTGTCCCTACTGATATTTCTGTCTCAGGTGGCAGGCGATCCACCTGGGTAAGGAACTGGTATGTCTGGACACACATCAGGGACTATTTCCCCATCACGGTAAGTGTCTCTTCCTTAGCGCCATTCACAGTTCCCCAAATACTAGGCATTAATGCCAAATGACTAGGGTTGTCCAAAGGGAAATGAGCATTCCAGATGAGTCTCAGTGCAGGCCAGACATACTTTATCATCCAACATTGCTACCAGGCACGCATTACTCTGCTAGGACACTTTGGATGCCCTTGGCATGGCCAGATGACATAGACAAAAATGGAAATACGTTCAGTTTAGTTTAACAAACATTGATTGAAAGCCTACTCTGTGCCACATGTTTGGGGTACAGAGAAGTGAGTAGAATACCATTCTCTTCTAGCAAGGAGCTCACATCTAATAGGGAGGATAGACAGTATATTTACAGTTTGGTACAAGGTATACAAATAGTTCAGATGAAGGGTAAGGAAAGGCGCTTTCAAAGTTCAATAAAAATTACTTAAGTGGGCACTGAAATGGGGTTGGGGGAGAAAATAACAAGAAGAGGTTCCAGAAATATACTGCTACACAGATCCTCTGAGTACACTTTGGAACAGACAACAAACACTGCCCTGACTTTTAGAGCAGAGCTTGCTGATCTTTTCACTTAAGGGCACTCAGAGAAAATGATACCATCCATGAAGTGCACTGACATAAATGGCTGAGACTCCTTGTAGCCATAGGCAAGAGACCTAGCAGTTCAGCTGCCCCAGATTCTACCTGGTTTCCCAGGGGCTGAGGAGACCAGTATCTCAGTCCCTGAAACCCACTCATGGCCTATATGTTGAAAAGCTCTGGTTTAGAGAGTACCCTGTTCGCTGAAGTGTCTCTACATTTGCTTCCCCATGTAATCTCATTCCACCACCTCTGTCATTTATCTCCGTGGCTGCAGATCCTGAAGACTAAAGACCTGTCACCTGAGCACAACTACCTCATGGGGGTTCATCCCCATGGTCTCTTGACCTTTGGCGCCTTCTGCAACTTCTGCACTGAGGCCACAGGCTTCTCGAAGATCTTCCCAGGCATTACTCCCCACTTGGCCACGCTGTCCTGGTTCTTCAAGATCCCCTTGATTAGGGACTACCTCATGGCCAAAGGTGCTTCTTTCTCATACTTACTACTTCTTCTGGCCCATTTTTCTGCTTGGAGATGCACCTTTTTAAGCCCCTCATCCGCTACCTCTCAACTCCCTCTCACCCCCCC